AGTCAGGAGAAAAGAAAAAAAGGTTTTCCAACACAATGCACACAAAGACTGTTTTTGCACTCATAGACTTGGATTTAAGTGTATAGGCTTATATAAGGTTAGAACAGCAACATATGCTTATTTGGCTGAACACCTCTGGCATATTCACAACCTAAATATAATAATTGCCGTGTGTGTGTGGCAAAACGTTGTGACATATCACTTATGAGAGATCAACAGTTTACAGCAAAACATAAAACGGGCGGCACAAATGGTATTTAACCCAGGGTTCTTATGGTAAAAAAAGAAAAATGTCATCTGAAGGTATATTTCAAATAAAATAACATAAATAAAATAAGTAACATAAATAAATAAATAAATAAATAAATACTTAGTCTAAAAGATTGCAAATTCCATTTCATAAAAAAATACTTTGATTCACAAAGTTTTCTTCCGACGTTAGGCGTTTTGTGTCGTCATTACCAAAAATTATGACATTTGCATGATTCAACTTTTCCTTACCTATTAAGCCTGTTTATGAAACTTCATTATTAGGTCTATGCTTAGTATATATATATATATATATATATATATATATATATATATATATATATATATATATATATATATATATTTATTTATATGCTTTCAGTTTCCTATTTTCTCCTACTAAAAAGAGGTATAAACCTCTGTAAATACAGAAGTTAAACTTAAGTTTGAAGATTCAATTTTAAATACTATAATTATTATTATTATTATTATATTAGCGTGTAACCAACACTATAGTAACATAACAAAAAACAACCGCTGTAACATGAACCGCTATAAAATCAATCTCTGTTACCTTAAATTATGATTATTCTGTAAAGCTGCTTAGAAACAATCTACGTTGTTGAAAGCGCTATATAAATGAGGATGACTTGACTTGACTTGACAACACTGTTACCCGACTAACTAAACGCGCAGGGTAATGACAGCAAAACGTTTGTGCTGCAGCTCCGATAATCTAAATCGTTTAAAAGATTTACAGCGTCACTTGTAAAACGTATCAATAAACTAATCTGGGGTTTCACATTCCTCCGGCCTTGACAGTCACTTCAGCATGTGTGTGACCCATATTGACGACATGACCGTTATCCAAAAGTTTCCTCTTTTTTTTAGAGGGAAATTCATATTTCACAATATTTATTTTCAAATCAATGTATCAGTATGTGAACTGTTTCAGACAGGTTTGTGTATCAAACTGTTCAGTGTGTGTGTGAGAGAGAGAGAGAGAGAGAGAGAGAGAGAGAGAGAGAGAGAGAGAGAGAGAGAGAGAGAGAGAGAGAGAGAGAGAGAGAGAGAGAGAGAGAGATGCATCCTACACTCTCTTTGAATCAGTCGGAGGGGTAACGTCTCAGTGTATATCACATTCCCGACTGGACCCGCACATTAAACCACCGAGGCATGATTCCTTTTCTCTTCCATATTTCCTTATCAGCTCCTTCACCGTTTCATTTCTTTCACATGAGAATTCAGGGACCCCCAAATTCAAGGCCGGCGCTTCAAACAACAGCACTGCGGTTTACTTTTCTTCTGTCCAAATGCTATCCCAGATCCAATTTTAGATAGACGAGGCATCAGCAATGATGCTTTTAGGACTTTCCGAGAGAGAGAGAGACAATAGTTAAAATTTTAAAATGAGATCAGCGTAACAGAAAACCCAATATATTGCAATATTAAAATGTACTATAATGTCTCACTAAATTTAGAACCGAGATAAGCATGTGTTTCACTTCTGTAAACAATAGTAAAACGTATTGCCATTATAAAATAAATTATTTTCGAAATAATGTATTGTTATAAAAATAATTGCTTTATAAATATTAATAATAAATAAATCTCACGGCATGCAAAACCCCATAATTGTTGCACTGATTTTTAGTTTTCAATGAAATAGGCCTAGAAAATTAGCATGGCAAGATTCAGAGCATGATATTTATAAGCTACATATCAAACTGAATAGTGCGCCCGCGATTTCAGGGTGACATTAGGAGACAATAATGCAAATGACCCATGGCATTCAATTAAAAGTGTCATGTCCCCTCACTTTTGTTTCATGTGTTTTATATTTTCCACTAAAGTGTTTGAGAAAGAAAGCGCCTTGTGTCCCCCTCCTCATTGAATTTTATCACTAAATGAAGCATATAAATGATCTGAAAGCACAGCCTGTCGCATTAAATTAAATAAAATAAAGAACAATTATCCTCTCTTTTTCTCTGATCTCCTGCTGAAAGGAGTCTTGGCGAGATAAGGCAGATTGAATTCGGGCTCTCCGTTGAGCTCAAATAAAAACGTTTCAGAGAAGAGCTACAGATTTAGAGCTCTATAATTTCAAATCATAATTTTTACCTGTTTTTTTTTCCTTCTTCTTTCTATTCGGGTTTTGTTTGCGACGTTTTATTTTACCAGGATGCTTGAAAAAATTGTTCAAAATGGCTGCAATGATCACAGTTGATTAATAGCCGTGAAGGGCTCATAAATTAACATCTAATTACACCCACATGCTTTTAAATAAACATAAAGCCATGGATTGATATTCATGTTCATGTCTTGTGGTTGATTTTTTCAGTGTGTCATTTTGTTTACCGTGTTATGTTGCCTGGATCAATATGGCAAATTATGAAATGATGCTAGAGAGTAGAGATTTTTTTTTTTCTCGATATGAAGGGTTTAATTTAAGTTTAGGTCTTGTTGATTGTTAAATAATCTAGTAATGCAAAAACACACGTTTCTCGCATTTCTGTTAGATTAGAAGTGTTCCTTAAAGTTCCCTAATTATCATCGTCCAATTTCAAAGTTGAATCTGCATGCTTTAGGGGGCTGATGTAAAACTTGCTATTCGGTTCAATGGAGTATCACCCTAATTTACAGCGGCAGATAAGAGCACAGTCTGTCATAAAAATCTGAGCCCCCTCCCTCCCTTATATTGAATTGCACCTTGGGCAATAGTGCAGAATCGTGAATCTTAACTTCTTCCAGCATATGTTCCTGGCAGATAAGTAAACAATCTGGATGTGAAATGAAAATTTTAATTAATACAGTAATGCTATTACACCTCGGTGTGCAAATCCCATTCCCTATCCCTGCGACAATAGACAAAAGTACAGGCCAATTCCAATCCTCTGTTTGCACCCCAAACCCAATTGTTCTGCGAGCTTGTTCCCTTTGAGTGAATCCCATTCCCTATTCACGCATCTGCTTTAGTTTCAGCAACACTTTTTTGTATTACAGGAGGAGGACTTGTACCAACTGTGTTGGGTTAGTATTTTGTGAATATTGACAGATTTCGAAAGAAATGTTATTCTAAACGAGTTGTAACATATTCTTTGTTCACATTAGAAGCTGAATTATTTAATAGAAAGAAAAAAAATATGGAATTAATTTAAAGGCTAAACTGCATTTAACTTGTACTGTTTCTTTTAAATTAACCATTGAAAGGAATAAGTCAAAGGTAGTATAGTTACCATTAATTTTATAGTAGTAGTAGTACACTGTAAAACAATATATAGCCTATATATATTGTTGGTTTAACTTGAAAAAAGTAAGTTACCTTGAATTTTGAGTTCATTTTAAAAAATAAATAAATTAAGACATTAGTTAATACAATGAAGGAGATTGGTTTCAACAGAAACACCAAATATTATGTTATCTGAACCACATAAATTTGATTTGACAAAAGAAAAAAAATGTTGTGATAACAAATCATGAAAATATATTTTTTTACAGTGGTATGCGCATTTTTACAACGCACTGATTACAAAAAAAAAAAAAAAAATAGATAGATAGATATATTTATATTGTGGGAAGTGCATGAATAAGATTTTATTCGAAACGTCATAAATCACCCTTTACACGTAATCTTAGTTCATGAAGAAGGTATTACTTAATTTGTTTAGTGAAACTTATAGCATCGTGTTTCTGTCCGTAAAATGTTGGAGTGATCTAAGCGGTGGAACAGGTGGAACAAGCATAGAGTCCCTGAAGGGTGAAACGTCTCATACACACATCAAAGAGTGTGATCATCTTATTTCAGAGACATGACACACACCTAAATGCAAAAAAGTTTTACACCCTGAACACAGTAACACGAACGTATTTACAAAAACAAAATTTAATAAAAAATTAGGCAAAAGAAAGAAAGAAAGAAAGAAAGAAAGAAAGAAAGAAAGAAAGAAAGAAAGAAAGAAAGAAAGAAAGAAAAAGAAAGAAAGAAAAACCGAATGTGAAGTGGAGATAGGCTAATGCAAACTGACAGCTTCCACATCTCAGTCTGTTCAATGTTTCACAGAGCGTTTGTGAAAATCGGCCCCATATTTTAAAGCACCTGACGCTTTGTTCACTTGTTTTTTTTATTTTTTATTTTTTTATTGGAAATTGTTTTGTAATACTAAATGACATGGCCCATACTCGTACCACCCCTTCTTCTGTCCAATTTCCATCCTATTGTGGGTCTCAGGGTAAATCACAATTCATGTTCGCCCTCAGTTTCCCTAAGCGTCCCTGTACAGTAATTGTTTTGCCATTTAATTTGGAACGGCGGTCCCTATAGAGCAGTCGGGAACGCCACGCGCTGACAGAGTTCATCTCAAATCTAAGCGGAAAGCCAGATGGTTATTAGACAGCCGAAACGTTGGACTAGCCATTTAAGCAGTGCTGATTGAGAAGATAATTATTATAGCTATATATATATATATATATATATATATATATATATATATATATAGCGTGTAAGATACATTTCTGTTTGTGTGTAGCAGTTAAGGCCTGCGTTCTCTCTGCCCGACAAAAACCATTAGGCCTATATTTGATGCAAAAATAAAAACCGCTTAGTTTTTTACATAACAAGAAGAGTAAACATTTATTAAACGCATGTTTGGGTACACCACTACCGACATGCCTGTTACCTTTTGGCACGACTGTATAAGAGCATCAAGAACAATATTCATTAATAGTTTAAATAAGCAATTTAACAAGGGTTATGCATTTTTTAAGACAGATTGTCTTTATTCAAAATGTCTTTGCTCGGCAAATGAACAAAGAATCGAGGTATCACCCTTTTAGATACATTTCCTTTCCATTAACATGACAGGATTTAAGTTTCCATCGCAGATAAAAAATACAACATGAACTGCTTCGCTTCAAACTTTAAGTCTGTCTGAAATCAAATGAACGAGTGACTAGCACTTGAACCACAGAACAAAAAAAGTCCAAATGAAAAATATTGAAAGATAAGGATTTTTTCCCCCCACAATTGATATTTTAAATAGACTGTCTAATTTTAGGTGCCGGTGTAATAATTATAAACAATATAACCCGTATAATCTAAACGCTGAGATGTCTCACTTTGAAATCCTTATAGTCGTATCATTTGAATTTCAGAGTGCCAAACATAATGGTAAATACAACAGGCTGTACAAGAAACATGAATCCTAATCGTTAGTTGTGCAAATCAAAGTCATTCAAATAATAATAATAATAATAATAATATGATGATGAGAATAACAATTATATTAACTGTTCGAACAAAATTATCATTATTATATCATCAAATCGTACATAATAAATAAAATTAAAGGCATCCAAATCCGGTAGCCATAATAATAAACGTTTGAACATTTACATTTCTTACAGTTCTGGGCACCTGCCTTATCTATTCCAAGATCCATGCTGGGATCCAATGAACCTCTCGTAGATGGTGAAAAGTTCATGTCCACACGGCCTCAGTAAAATGTCTCGATCATTCCTCACTTCTTATGTACATGCATTGCTGTATTCAAGTTTTCAAAGAGGAGACTAGCGGTGCAGTCACATAGCAGCGGCATGTGCTGATGAGTACGGGTCAATCCCACTCTTGGTCATACCTGGGAACAGTATGTAGGCAACAGGCGGCTGTAAACTCGATGCCGACCATGCGGTGCAGTTACACGGCACCACGTACCCAGGGTTTGTGGGCGACGGGTGGGTGTGGGTGTGCTGGCTGTGGCAACCCAGGCTCCCGAATGCGCCGTTCTGGTATCCCAGAGATGATGCGTAAGGTAAAGTGCTGGTGGCCAACGTGTGGGGCATCTCTGTCATCTTCTGGATGGCACTGGTGCTGAACTGGCTCGGGTCGAGGAAAGAGTAGGGGGAAGATGTTGGTGGCAGGAACGCACGGGCTTTTTCCGCGGAACTTAAGAGCGAGTCCGTGGCTGAGACTGGAAGTCCTTTCAGGTGATCCGTGTCACCCAGATAGGGCAGAGGAAACACGTACCTGTCCTTCTTGAGGAGGTTCTTGGGCTTGCGCCGGGGTCTGTATTTGTAGTCTGGGTGTTCTTTCATGTGTTGAGCCCTCAGCCTCTTGGCCTCGTCGATGTACGGTCGCTTTTCGGATTCAGAGAGCAGCTTCCACTCGGCACCAAGTCTTTTGCTTATTTCGGAATTGTGCATTTTTGGATTCTCTTGAGCCATTTTCCTCCTCTGGCCTCTTGACCAGACCATGAAGGCGTTCATTGGTCTCTTGATGTGATCTACCGGTTTTGACATGTTTCAAGGCGCCCGTTTAAACTTCCCTGTTAAAATAACAACGAAAAAGTTCTTCGACCAACCAAGAGAAAAACAAGTATTCACCTGTCCTGCAGACAGACACGGCTCATGCCACTTCTAAAGAGCAGGAGGAGAAGGGAAACGGCATCAATGGAGAAAAAAAATCCAGTAATTCTTCCGTGTTTGTCGTGAAGTTGAAAGATTTTTCTTCTTCAAAACACTTGACACTGTTCGGCTCAGAGAAGAACAGCCAAGCGCGCCACAAAATCCAGCGCGGAAGCGAAGTTTCCGCAATCTGTTTGCCTGCTTTTTTTCTCGGAGGATTCTCGCCCCGCGAAGCACCTGGCTGGGAAATGAGGAGTAGCGCGTGAATGAGAGCCAAAAGCGGTGAAGTTCAAAGGCTGGGCTGGTTCGCTCTGCACGCGATCTGACATAATCGCAGGGCGTTCACGCGCCAACCTGAGCGCCCAATCAGCTCTGAGAAAGCCACATAATACCTACCAAAATATGTATATTACAACACAAACAAAGATCGGGGAGGAAAAGGAGGTGACTCTCTTCCCACCCCAAATCCATTTAGTTGAAGGTCTACAAACACAGACCTTCAACCTTTTTGTAATAAAACCTGACATATACCAGCGTCAATCCTTCAGAGACGACAGATGCCTGAAGAACAGACAAATTCTTATTTTAAACATCGCGTTCCTTATGCGAACACGCTTCTGTGTGTGCCCTTAACGTTAAACTTGACTATTTATTTAAAAAAAAATTCTGACTTTTAACTTGTATATTTTTTTTTATTATTCAATCTTATCTGTCCTTTTGCAGCAGATTTGTTGTTTATTAGCCTAGTTTATTTTTGTTAAACAACGTCATAAATTAAGCACATATGGAAAGCTAAATCATTAAAACCACAACGCTTAAAGAAAGAAAAGAAAGAAGAAGAAGAAGAAGAAAAAAAAGTATTAAAGATCTCAGAAAACAAACGCGCTATCTGAGGCAGTGCCCCCCAGGCCAATATTTCCTAAATGAGAACAATTGTCCAAAGCTCTCCTGGGACAGGCTGCGTTGGGGCTTGCACCTGTTTTGCTGCTGTAATCTCACATGTGTAGAACATGCCCATGGACCCTTTCTGAATGGTAACATACCCACGGAAATCTGGCATTTAGAAAACAATGCAAGTTGCTCATAGTATCATGACATCCGACAAATAATCAAACGCAGATGAAAACCTTGAGCTGTGTGATGCGAGATATTTGCACGAATTCTGGTAAATATGCGTTATTAAATTCCTATTCAGAATATCACGTAGGCCTAATTGATTTAAACATTAGATTCATGGCCACCGTATAAAGTTACCTTAATCATTTTCAGTAGAACATATTTTACATTAAAGCTGCGGTTAATTACCCCTCTGTCTTTATTCTCTTGTTCTTTTTTTTTACCTTTCTCTTTTGTAGCCCATCTAACAAATAAACTTTCGAATTAATTTAGAATTGCCCAAATTTGAAAATATGAAAAAAATGTGTGAACAGAAATATTACAAATTCAGTTAATGTTTAGTGTCAAGGTTCGCGCACCAAAACCTTTAACATGCAAATTTGAGTGTTTCAAAAAGATCAGGGTCTTAATGAGCCTGAGGCAAGGAGCTTGATATATGAGAGGCACGGGTGTAATTATTAAGTGAAATGTATAAGATATGTGATATCTCGTGGAGGGGCCTTCAAGCGTAACATGAAGAGAGATCTGTCTGTAATTTAGCACACGAACATATATTGTTTCTACCGTATTACATGATACAGCGTTCGTTATTTAAAACGCAGGTAGCCTAATGATGTAAACCGTATTTAATGTTTGGAAATGGTATAATTGCTTATTTAATGATTTATCTATCTTTTAGCTTGAGAGCTTTGTCTTTGTATTTGTTTGACGTCTAAAATGGTCTCACATAAATATCTTATTATCGGCGAAGGTTATTTAACTGACTATGCACTTCATTTGTGTGTGTGTGTGTGTGTGTGTGTGTGTGTTATAACTCCCCCAGTCTGGCTCTTCCAAGGTCACTTTTTAGCTGAATATTAACGCATGTATTGATTTTCATATAAGCAATCACATGTATATGCAGGAGTTTCGGCTTTGTTGCAGGTGGAGATGGTTTAATTTATTTTAGTCATCAGAATTATGTGAATTGATTTTTAAATTTGTATTGTTTCTTCTACTCTTGTTGGAACTTTATTTGGCAGTGTAATAGCAACTCAAGTGTCATCTTACTCCTAATGACACGTTTTATGAAAATACAATCTCCATAATAAAAGCAAATGTAGCTACCTGACGTTTATCATCTTTGCCATACATTTAATTATGGAAAATAACAAATAAAAACAACGGTTGTCTTTCATTGCTTATAAATGATAATAAGGTGAACTTATATATATATATATATATATATATATATATATATATATATTATTAAGCAGATCCCATGTGTATATAAATCCTCAATGAGGCGCTGATGGTAAATGCGTCCAGAGAGCATGAAGTGTGTTTCGTAGGGGTGCCGGCTCGATATCCATCAAGCTTTACCGTTCCACCGCCTCTCAGCCTCCATCTCCATTTCAGAGCACAGCCGAGAGCAGTGCAGCTTGAAATCCGGAGAACACCAGCCTGATAGAAACAGAAATTACAACGGGAATTAACAGAAATTATTGGGGCACACAGCATTTGACATAGAGATGATGTACTCAACGCCAAATGAAGTGAGATTTGTGAAATCAAGCATGCTGAGGCGCGCGCGTCATTAAATGGGAGCTCGTCATAATGGAGGAGATATTCCGTGTGTGGAGTAGCTATGGATCGCTCACGTGCGCAAAGTGAACTGCCTCCACTTCTTTTTCCGCGTACAGAGGACTTTAGCAACCCACCAACGCATGCAAAGGTGTGCATGTATTTATATTTTGATGTTTACGATACTCTATGTCAGAGTAATCTAAAACAAGAGTCTACAAAATCGGGTCGGGTGTTTTTTTTTAATTATTATTATTATTTTATTATTATTATTATTATTGAACGCATTTTTTTTTCTCGATATCACTTTTTCAAGCCCTTTTAACTAGCTACCGTAACAGTAATATTTCGATATCACTGTATATATGCTACTATTCACATTCAAACTGCTATCCGATAGTCTTTAGGAACGTGCAGCGATATTATCAACGTGTTTGCTGTTCCCCTAAAAATACAAAGAACTGTTTCTTTAAAAATGTATTACTCTCAAGCATTTGCTGGTTGACTGAGATGCAAAAGGCACCTGAAGTCGATACATAGGCAGCATACACACACACACACACACACACACAAAAAAATAAAAATAAAAACATTAGCAAAGCTTCAGTAAATTTAAAGCCTAAATTCGCACTAAGTGGTGTTTTAGCCTGTGATGATCAACCTATAGAAACTCGACTGCTGCATGGAAATTATTGTTTATAACCCGCTGTTGAAAAGTTAAATTAATTAACTTTGATAATAATAATAATAATAATAATAATATGCTAATAATAATAAACTTGGCATGCCTAACAATGCTCTAGACGCATTTGCCTGAAAGTCCCCAATAACTTTATGCAAAAAAAAAAAAAAGTTAAAATTGTCTGCAGGTGAGGAATATATATATATTCCTCACCTGCAGACAATTTTAACTTTTATATATCACGTATCTTTGGATATTTTATCATGACTCTAAAATTATGGTGGCCTACATAGGCCAGGCGACTTGGAAAAAAACAGATGGATGAATGGGTATTTCAGTGATATAGAATGAAAAGAGGTCAAATCAATATCAACAATTCCATTAATTACAGGAATACAATTCGGTTACATCGCCGTTGATGTGTTTTCTCAGAATCAGCGGTAACATGGTGTAAATCCCACGTGTTCCGATCTGATGTTTCACACAGCGTTCATGATGGATACGGTGGTACAGTAGCTGTCCATGGTCCTGACGCGCTAAGTGGCTTTTTCCACTGCTAACGCGCGGTCCCACTCAGGACTCCTCACAAACCCGTGTTGACATTTCAATGCTTTTTATTCTTTTTTCATCCCATTTGCTGCTGTGATTCTGCTCGCATGATGCTGCAATAGATGTTTCCCTCTGAGAATGTGGAAATGTGCTCTGCCAAGAAACCTCTGCGACTATGTTGCATGTTGTTTTGTAAGCCAATATTCACCCCTAGGAATTATCTTGGTAAGTTAAGTTCTGTGCGTAACATTACGGATTCAACAGCGGAAATAGTAGTGTGCTTACAACGGAAATGCTCTCATGTATACACAGCACACGAAGAACATTTCAAATGTCTGACCTAGTGGGAATGCAGACATTATTCAAAAGCAGAATCCCTGTTTTGCCTTGATGTAACCTCATATGCAGTTGAGAAGTTAAATTCCAAAGAAGTCTTAAGAATATCATGATAAAACTGCTCATAAGTCATTCTGAATAGACACATAACCAAATTATTTAAAAAGCCAACCAACAAGTTTTAAAGGTTACTTCAGCTCAAAAGGAAAAGGGGATGGGGGTAGGGGCACGGGATACTTTATATATGTTTTACTGTTAATGGCAAAGATAGGATTAACTATTCAACTTGACTGCTAAAAAGTAATGAAGAGCCAATGAAGCAAATGAAAGCTTTACATTGGCAAATTATATACTTAAAGACCACTGGCACTTCAGAATTAATCATAATGTTCTCACCCCAAGGGCTGCTGTCAGCCAATTATATTGACAGACTGTAATGGAAGTTAAAAGTTGTTTTGGCATGTTTTGAGCCAACACTAAGCAAACCCCTGATGACCTCCAGCAAGTTTTCACTCCGACTGCCAGCCTGAAAGGTAAATTCAGAAAATTCTACCCATTATGAGACAGTGGGTTGAAAAGTGGTGGAGTATTGCCTCAACCTCCCCCTCCGTTCCATCTCCCTCCCCCAGCCTGCTTCCTCCTCACAGACCGACATTATTTCGCATATTCAAATTGCCAGTGTTTGTTCTGGCCGTGGCTCTTGGCTCCCATTTCTCTCCAGTGTGGAAATTGATTTTAGTCAGCTGTCACAGCCAGCATTTTTCTGGAACCTCTGCAAAATATATATTTACAAAAAAAAAAATCTGTTTGGTTTGGAGAAATTTCATTAGCCCACGCAGCATCCCAGGCCCTTTTTTGGAGCGGCCATACGAGTGATGAGCATAATGCTATTTTGGGAAAACGGTGAAAGACAAGCCACCGATGCCTTCGAGATTGGACAGCGTGTTTGGGAAAGTGTCCAGTCATGGCCAAGTCCAGTCCATCTTCAGATGTTTACATATCTGTTTCCTCTTCCTCATTCTCTCCCCATATCAATCTGTGATTATCAATAGCTGGGACCAAGCCCTAATCAAAACCGAAATGAGCATAGGGCAGAAA